GGTGGCGGGCCCCCGGCGCGGGGGGGGGGGGCGGGGGCAGCATGTGACCCTGGATCTGTGTGCAGGTTGAGGATGGGCTGTCACTGAGAGCTGGGGCTGGGGCAGCACTCAGGAATATAACCGGTAACATTAAAAACAAAAACAAAAATATAAAGGAGTACATGAGCTGAAGCTTTGAGACAGAACGGCTACACTTGTTAAAAAAAGGTTGAAAACCCCTGGTCTAACTCTTACATATCAGTGACAGAAGCATGGGGAACAAGCAGTAAGAACTGAAGTCCTGATATGATCACAGCAGTATGTAGTGCTATAGCTGCAGTAACAGACTTGATGGAATAACTTGGCATGACTGAAATGTTACCATGAATGAGCATAACTTGGTTCAAGAAGGCCAAGCAGGGGAAGTAGAAGGTAGTGCTGCTTTTTGACATAATCCTTGTTTTCTCTTTTTCTCTTGACTTGGAGACTCAACAGGCCTATCTCCTGCTTCTTACTGTGTTAGAACAAGGGGCATATCACAGTGGATGTCTGTCACTGACCACGAAAGCAGGAGGCCACCTTGTCAGGCAGGTGGCGGACAAGGTTGTTTTTCAAACTATTATTTGAAATATCCAGTTTACGGGACCTGGTGCTGATAGGGGACTTTAAATGACCATGACACCTGTAGCCAAGGTAACAGAGCAGTGCACAGGCAGTTCAGTAAGTTCTTCAAGGGTGATGGGGATAACCTTTTGGTACAGATGGTAGAGAAACTCAACAATTTGCTGCTTACAAATAGGAAGGTATTAGATGGGGATGTGAAGATAGAAGGTGACTTAAAACAGTGACCGTGAAATAAGATACTAAGGAAAGGAAGGAAGCAGAGATGGTAGCAAGAGAGACACTGGATATCAGAAGGGCTAACACATTCATGGAAATCATGGGCAGGATCCCACATGAGGCAAGGTTGAAAGGGGAAAAAAAAAAAAAGAGTCTAGGAGAGCTGACTGTACCTTATGTACACCACGTGAAGGGTGCAAGCGTGGGCTCTCCCAGTGTGAAGAATGGATATGAAGTGCAACAAAAGATCAGGTTAGCTGAAAAAAAATGCTCTAGTGAAAGAGAAACCTTAAAGAAAAAAATCTTATAAATGCAACAATCTTGGCCATATTATTAGAGATTAGCATGAGAGCATTGCACAGGCATGCAGGGAGAAGTTAGGAAAGCCAAGGCACAAAAGGAGATGCAGCTAGCAAGGGACACAATCAAAAAAGCAGCGGCATTTTACAAGTAAGAGGAGGCTCAAGGAGATTGTAAGTTCCTTAATAATAGATGATGATAAGTTTAACGCGTTTTTTTAAAACTTCAGTCATTGCCAATAAGGTTAGATACCACTGGATAAGTTTGGGGACTACAATCTAGAAGAAACTACTGTAAGGTGGACACAACTAGTAGGATCACCATATTCAGAGTAGTCATTAAATGCCTAAATGTCAAATTGGGAAGTGGTATTAAGTAGCAATCCTCAGAAGTCTGTCTTGGGTTTGGTACAGTTTAATATCTTCATCCATGATCTGGAGAATGGAAGAGAGTGTACAGATAGTAAGTCTGCAGAAGACACCAAATTTTGTGAAGTTGTAGATACTCTGGAGGACAGGATTAGAATACAAAGTGACCTCCATGATCTGGAAAAAATGTTCCAAAATGAATCAAATGAAATTCAATAGGGATAAGAGCAAAGTCCTGTACTTTGGACCGAATAACCACATAAATACAGACTGGGAAATACCTGGGTAGGCTTCAGTATTGCAAAAAAAAGGGGAAAGGGTCACAGTGGCTCCCAAAAAACACTAGTATGCTATTGACTTAACAGAAGTGTCACTGGCAAGTCGAGGAAAGTGATACTTCTACTATTCAGAACTGGCCAGACCTTCCCTGAATTACTGTACCAAGTGCTGGGCACCGCACTTGAAGAAAGACGTGGACCAGAGTCCAGCAGAGAGCAATAAAAATGATAAGAAGTTGAGGAACCATGATTTAGGCAAAAAGGTTGAAAGAACTAAGATTATTTAGATCTGAAAAAAGAGTACTGAAGGGGGGGAGGGGGAAGGTTTGATAACAGTCTTCAAATACCTGAAGGGTAGTTAAAAAAAAAAAAAAAGAAGAAGAAAAGGGGATGGGGGGAAGGGGTATGGAGAATGCTGGCAAACTATTCTCTGTGGCTGCAGGGAACAAGACAAGAAAATAACAGCTTTAAAATTACAGCTAAGAACAGTTAAATTGGATATAAGAAAGAATTTTCTAACTATGAGGGTGGTTAAGCATTGAAACAGATTACTTAGAAAGGTTGCTGACTCTTCATCTTGGGAAATTTTAAGAGCAGGTTAGACAAACATTTGACTGGAATGGTATATTAAGCGAGCAAAATGCTGACTTGCATCCATAGATGCTTCTCAAGCAAATCCCGGGACGTCATTCTCCCATTGCACTCGGCCTTGATGAGGCCGCAGCTAGAGTACTGCAGCCAGTTTTGGGCTCCACAATTCAAAAAGGATGTGGAGAAGCTTGAGAGAGTCCAAAGAGAGCCACGCACATGATCAGAGGTCAGGAAAACAGACCTTATGATGACAGGCTGAGAGCTATGGGACTCTTTCGCCTGGAAAAGCGCAGGCTCAGGGGCAATCTGATGGCCACCTATAAGTTTATCAGGGGTATTCACCAGGATCTAGGGGAATGATTGTTCACAAGAGCACCCCAAGAGATGACAAGGTCGAATGGTTATAAACTCCTGCAAGACCATTTCAGGCTGGACATAAGGAAGAAGCCACCAAGGTCTGGAATAGCCTGCCATGGGAGGTGGTTCAAGCACCTACACTGAATGCCTTCAAGAGAAATTTAGATGCTTATCTTGCTGGGATCCTATGACCCCAGCTGACTTCTTGCCCCTCGGGCAGGTGGCTAGACTCGATCTTCCAAGGTCCCTTCCAGCCCTAATGTCTATGAAATCTAGGAAGCAGGCCTGTATTCGCTTCGGATTCAGCCAATTTGGGGGACAGCAATTCGATTTGGTGATTCGAATCACTGTCCTGAATCAATTCGGCCAAATCCAATTAGGAGATTCAGTCACTGCCGAATAGGCCGAATCTCCAAATTAAAACAGGCCCTATTCCCTGTCCACTCTCCCAGCCCTGCCAATGACTGCCCCACCCAGACCCAGTGTTTTGGGTTTTTTTGTTTGGTTGGGGGTGTTTTGTTTTGTTGGGGTTTTTTCCATTAATACTTCTGACAGCATTTGGGAAACCCAGAGACTGCTAGTTAGAGGGTCTTACTCTTCTACTAAGGACATACAGATTGATGCATCAGAAAGAAATTTCCTCTCTAAACCAAAATACACAGTCTGTAGGGATTTCTGCTTTCCTCTGAAGGATGGGGGCATGGTACTTTTCCTACAATCTTCTACAAGGAACCAGAATTCATGGCCCAGAAGAAGGCCCCTTCCAAGCCTATGTTCCTAAACTGTACAATCCTTCCTCAGAATCTAAACAATCCAGAGTATGTCAAAGCTTACAACTAAAATAACGGAGTCCATCAATCTTCTCTCTCCACTGCAACATTTTAGAATCATGTTGCATCCCACCTCAATAAAGGGGGCCTGTTCACATTCATTTTTAATTAAAACACTTTCACAATTTAACTTCAAAGTGTAACCTACATCAGTTTAAGTTTACAAAATCGTATGTGAATTAACAGTAACAAAGAAGAAAGGGAGGGGAAAAATGAAGTGCTCTAAACTTACGGCAGTTTCATCCGCATGAACACTCTGGCCATGAAGAAGCTCAGTAGCACACTGACAAATCCAATAAAAAGCAACAGAAATCTATTGAGTTTGGGGATATTTGGTGCATTGGATCGGTCCAGAATTATGAATCCTAAACCGCCCATCGTGAAGAGAAAGCTGGATGCAAGCCCTTCCATAATATACTGTCCATTTACTCTACAAAAAAAGAGCAAGAGGGGTTTCATTAGGACACCAGAACTAAAGATACCACTTCAGTTTCAAAACTTACATACTGTACTTCAATTTACAAAAAGTTCAAGGCAGTTGATGCCTGCATACTAGTAGCTTCAGTGTGAATTGTCTTCTGCTCCTTGACAAAGTCAATTGTAGCAATGGATTAAAACATAATTTTGCTCACAGACAAGTTGTCTAGGAGGTGGCAGATCAAAAGTTTAATTCTGGCAAGGCGCATGCATAATATATGGTGATGTACAAAAGTGAGCTCTAAATAATATAACACTTAACACATGAGAATTTTAAAGTTAATTTAAGAATAAAGATACCAAGGTTTTAAGTAAACAAAAATATAAATAGGGAACCAGAACTGCTAGGTTGTTGAGCTTTCAAATTTGTTTAGATGTTTAGAAGAGATACTGAAATGCAAGTGATAAAATTTAAAAAAACAAACAAAACAAAAACAAAAAAAAACACACTACTTAAAGCTCTACCTGGTGGGTTTAGCACAGGACTAGGAGTCAAGTATTCTTGACTGCATTCTTAGCTCTGCTCCTTGGCTATGGTTTTGAATAAGCTCCTTAACCCTTCTTTGCCTCTGTGTTTCCACCTGTAATACTAAAATATTCTTTGTAACGTACAACAGAAGCAAAATATTCTACATGTTAGCATTTCCTATCATAAAAGGAAGTGGTCTGTAATTTTATCTATTGCCCCAAATAAATTTTTACTGAAGTATTCTTGCTTTTGGAGTTCCTCAACTCACTTGTGTTGCAATGGTCCCAAACAAATGCAAAGGGGAAATACTACATGGCTTTGTTTAAGCTACATCAGTATATTGGAACTATGCCAAGACTGAACAAGAACACCAAGATATAGAACGTATTTTTAAGTCAATTCCTTTAAAATGTTTAGTTTTGTTTTGTTTTTTATATATAGTGTAGTAATTCTAATCAAAATACATTAAGCATCTACTACAGCATCTAAGAGCAGCAGTCACTACCCAAAATTCTATAGGCTTACTCCTTAATATTCTCAAGTAACTTCTGATTAAATTAGCTGAATCAATATTAGAAATTTAGATTTTAAGCAAGGAGATATGTGAACTCATTCTGAAGAGCAGACAGTTTTATACTGAATTAAAAAAAAAACAAACAAACAAAAACTTAGCTTCAGTCCTGTAACTACAAGTGACTTCTTGCACTCATGCAAAAAGTAGCTTGTAAGATAAGGAAGGACTTATTTCTCAAAACATATCACAGTACCTTGAGTTCACAAGTACTGCATGCAAGTTTTGCCTTATGGGTAAATTGGATTCTACTTTTTTGCCTCTGAGACTGACTCATACAATTTCCTAGAACAGGGGTGCTCGACCTCAGACCCATGAAACCATGACCTCAGGGCTGCAGGGATCCCCATAGGTTGAAAAAACTGGCAAGTGGAAAGTAGGGGAAACTCTGTGCAGCCAGGTCCAGCCCTGCCTAAGCCATTGCGGTGCAGCAGAATCAGGGCCAGGCCTACCCCTGCCCCCTTCATGCATGCCGATAGAGGCTACTTCACCACCCACCTGGCATCCAGACCAGGGCTGGGCTGTTCTCCCTTCCCTGTCAGGATTGGGGTTGCCTTTGCCTCCCTGAATTAGAGTTAGGCCACACTGCCCTGTAGCAGGATGGGGCCCCTCTGCTGGCTAGATTGTGTCCACTTGCCGGATCTGGCTTGCAGCCAGACTTGGCACTGTCCATCTGATCTGCAGGACAGAAAGGTTGGGCACCACTGTCTTCAAATGATTAAACATTCCAAGATTATTCTATTAACTTAATAGTCTTTATGGACTCATTTCTGGCTAATTGTGTAAAGGACATTTTCTGCAGTAACTAAACTTAATAGAGCATAATTAATACAAATATACTAATGAAACAATGCAGATAACCAGTGTCCTACAATTCACTTCTACTCACTCACCTGACAAACACTTAAAGACAATATAGCTATGAAATACTGGTTATATATACACACACATACACCCATCCTATTGTCAATCTTGATGTCAAATCATAAGGATATGGTGAAAAAAAAATTAAAACTAATAGCAAACCTTCCCCCTTATATTGCAAAGAATGAATGTTGACAAAAATACCTGGAAATATTATCTATTAAGAGGAACAAAAATAAGATTGAATTCCGCCAAGACTAAATGTTCACAGCATGTTTAAACAGGTCATTTGGAAATCAAGACCCCACTCTTATAGTCAGATGCACAGCTTGACCCTTGAGTCCATACAGAACTTAAAAGTCAGATAGCACCATAAGAGTGCTAGGTTTCACTTGCATATGCAGGGGCAGAAAAAAAAAAATAAAAAAAAATCTTTTAAGGCAAAGAATAATTTGTACCTATATGCCAAAAAGGCCACTGGTCTCTGATGCCCATGTTCATCTGTCATAGATCCAACACTCGGAGGTTCTACAATCACATCGTAGATTATTCCTGAAAAGAAAAACAATGTTGCATGTTAGTTTTGAACTGTGGAGCAAGTTAGCAAGCATAAGCTATTCCTAATGTTCAAAAGGGTTTCTTTCCATCACCACCATAAACAATTCAATACAAACATAATTTTAAATTTATTTAAAATTAAAATGAAAGCTATTAAGTAGGTATTTTCAAATCAACATGATTGATCACTTTAATAAAGTACATCCTTAGGTCCCAATGAATGACTATTCAACAGAAATCTCATTTTTGCTTTAGCACTGAGAAGAGGGAAATTTAAAATGTACTTGTGTATATATACATACAGCATACTATATAGCATATTCCACTATATACATCTCAGATAAGCACATAATTCAACTAACTGCAAAACAGGACAGCAGTCCCATTTTTTTTTGCCTGCTGGATACATAATAAACAAACACAGAGCAGAAAATGCTTAAGTGGATAGAAACTCTTTGGTCTTACTGTCAACTATATTGAATAATTGGTGAAACCCACTAGTTTCAAGGTTTCTAAAGCAGTCATGAACTTACTTAGTTCTAATTTCAAGGTTGCTGTTAGACGTGTATGGTGCTCGGAGGAATAAGGAAGGTAGCTTCTAACTATGGGGGAGCTCAGGATGGGCTAAGCCCCCCCATAAGCCTCCCTGTAAGATTTGAAAAACATAACTTGTGGGTCCTCCAATTTTATTAGTGCATTGTGATGGGCAGCCCAATTTTTTTTTTTTTTTTTTGCAGACCCTCCCCCTGCCAAAGAGTCAAAGTGTAATTGGAACCTCAAGTTTCAACAAGCCGTAAAAAACTGCAGGGTACTCCTGTAGGTAATGATCAGTCTTTAAAGTGGAGTTGCAATCCTTTTCAGGCCCTAGAATATCCACTTAAATGTAGTACACACACAATGCTCCAGACTGACCTATTTTACCTACTCCAAGATTTCAATACTCTTTATCTTGCATTAAGACCATTAACCTTGTTTTCTTACACAGATACATTTATGATTAACTTGGATACTATTTATGTTTCTAAAAACCTAGTTTTGGTTGATGAGACTCCAATGCACAAAAGTTTTCTGATTGGGAACTCTGCGACACCTCTCTAAAATGCAGCCATTTGAGAACATCCTGAGAAGGCTCAAATCTGCCATGCCACTGACTTAAGTCTAAAAACTTATCATGTAAATTAAAAACGTGGAGACTCCCCACTTGCTTACAGAGTGAATTTGATTTAAATCACAATTTAAATCACTGCTCAGGAAGCCTCGATTTAATCATCATTTTCTATAAAAAGTGCATTCTTGTTGTTTGATATCACCTCCATTAAAATATTCCCAAACAGGTTCCCTTTCATGGCCTGGCAAGCCTGCTGCCATGATAGGTTTTCCCTTCTACCATACCATTCCCTCACTAGATCTCAAATCAATGGAGAGGCTCTTCTCAGAATCCTGCCTTAGGCAGGAGGCTGGATTAGATGACCTCAAGAGATCCCTTCCAGCCCAACTTCTCTAGGGGCACTGACAGAAGTGAAAACAACCCCCCCACCACCAAAAAACAGACCAGCTGCAGATGCTTTCTCAACCTGATAGCTTGCAAAGATTTTTTTTCCAACTATTTGAGTTAGTCTAATAAAAGATATCGGATTTACCCAAAGAACCTTGTCTGCCTATGTCCTTAGACCAACACAGCTACAACCTACACCCATAAAACAAGACAGCACTTTACCAGAAGCAGCAGCACATTAGTTCACCCCAGCTCCATAGCATCTGTACAGATCAGGCACTCAGCTGGACTTTTTAGCGCATTTATCTAAAACGGATCCAATCAACTATTAGATAAAAGCACCAAAAAGCCCTGCTGAAGTGCCTCATCTGTACAGATGTGGGCAAACTGGGCCCAATTAACGTGCTGCCCCTGCTGGGGGGACTGAGCTGCAAGGAAAGCGCTGGTTTTGCTTTTTCCACATCCACAAGCAGCTTCAGGCTCCAAGTAACCCGCCCCGATGCCCGGCCCTTAACCAGGGAGGCAGCCAGCTTCTGGGCAGCATGGGCCCACAGCTCCCCTGCAGGACAGGAGAGGCCTGCACCTTTCAAAGCTGCCCTCGGCCCCCAGCTGAGAATCACTGCTCTGCACCCCGCACGGGCAACAGCATCGCTGGCTGCAGGGGGCGGGGCCAGCAGACTGACAGCCAATGGGAAAAAGCAACGTGTAACAGGTTCCTCTGCCCCCTAATTGAGAATCTCTGCTTTGCACCCGGCCCTGGAGGTGAGGGCGGAGGCAAGGGGCTGCAACCGGCAGCGAGCGGGTGGAAGCGACACGTAGCAGCTTCCCTGTGGCCACGGCTCCTCCGCGAGCCGCCCATGCACTGGGCGCTGGGACCAACAGCCGCGGGCCGGTCACGTGACCCAGGAGCTCTCCCCACTCCCCACCCCCGGCTGTTACCTCCGGTGATGAGGAAGTAGGACACCACCACGAGGGCGTACACTGTCATGGCCGAGGGCATGTGCACCCAGCTCGGCCGCTTCAGCTTGACGTTGGGGCACTCGAGCACCGCGAACGGCACCCGGTACAGCGTCTCCATGATGCCGGCTGTGAGCTCCGACCCCCGACTGACCCGCCGCCGCCGCTGTCCCGCCTCCGACACGAAGACGGAAGCGGAAGCCAGCTGGGGGGGCGGGTGCTGGCAGGGCGAATACGTGAGGAGGGGCTGCCCGTGGGCCGGGCGGTCTTAGTTGTTACTGACGTGGCCGCGCTGGCGGATCTGGGGCGGGGCCGGGCAGCGGGCCACGCCCACCGGGCGGGGTCGTCCTATCGCTACCACGCCCACGGGGCGGGGCAGTTCTCTGTGTGCAGGCGTGGCGCGAGTTGAGGGCTGCGGCTCGCACTCTCGCCAGAGCAAATGGGAATGGACATACACATACCACGTGGGACTGATGGACGCACGGGCACACACATAGTCTGGGGATGGACATACGCAGTCAGTCTAGGCATCTACATGCACACACAGCCCAGGAATGGACGGGCAGACACACACACACACACACACCCCCCACCCCCGGGGATGGACACACATGCACGTACAGCCTGGGGATGGACGTACACACACACACAGACTGTCTCAGGATGGACACACATGCACACAGCCTGGGGAGGAACGCACACCTACACACAGCCTGGCCCCACACATGCGCACACAGCCTGGGTACAGATGAACACACACACACATGCAGTCTGTCAATGGTCACACAGACACATACAGCAAGGAGACACAGGGGCTACGTGTTGTGGGTGGACGCCTGCTAGTGTGTGTGAGCAGTACGGGTCTCAGTCCAGCCCATGGACCAGCCCTATACCATTCATCTCACCCAGGGCCAAAACTCTGAGCACTACTGGTCTAGATGAGTGCTTCTCAACCTTATTTGGCCTCCCTCAGAGAAGGCCATCTCTTAGTTTTCACTTGTTTTTTGACTACAGAAAAATAACAGCAATTCTTTCTGTTGCAAAGGACTCAAAGACCACATCAGGTCAGAATGTTTTTAACACTGTGGCAGGGTTGTTGGTTGTAGCTGTAATGTTACCATACCTTATAACCTACCTGACATCTGATTCACCAGGTACCTGCCTGAATTCACCATTTACACATCCCCCCATCACCCTTCACCCCTCGCTTCCTTCTCTACCCATTGTCTTCCTAACTTTCACCTATTTACTTTTCCACAGGCTGCCTCTTTTCTGCCTTGAAGAACTCAATACTACAGCAGTCTCCCATGCTTACCCCCCTTGTTCCTCCTCTCCCCTCCCTTCTTTACCCATTGTTTTCCAAACTTCCACCTATTTAGATTTTCACTGACCTCCTGTCACACCTTTTTAGCTTCTTGCCTACCTTGGAAATCTGAGAACACCAGCAGAGTCTCTCTGTGCCTGAAGAAGGGTGTTTGTGCCCAAAAACTTGCAAAGAACTTTGTTTCAGCTATTCAGTTGGTATTATAAAAGATATCACATCTACCCAAACAACTGCCCTTCCTTTAACACTGTGGGTTCCTGTTTGAACTCACTAGGTTATCTTGTGAATCATGTTTGCCCACCTAACACTGCTAATATTGCGTGGCACCCCACATCACTCTTGAAAGGATCCTGTGGCCCCCGGTTGAGTATTATCAGAAACAATGCAATGTAGAATGAAAAGATTTTTCTTCTTCTGTGTATTTAATAATTGTCACAAGTTATTCAGCTTCAGCCAAAATAACAGTAAAAGAGAATCTGCTAGACCTGTGGTGGAGTACCTTTTGGGTGCTTGTCACTTTAAGGGCTGAAGCAGGCTGCAAGGCAGCCTGCAGGTGACTGCAGAGCCTATCAGATGGTCATATGACAGCCAGGAGGCCACCTGATTGGAGCAGGGCTGAGCAGCCTCAGCATAAGAGCAGGCCCTGAGGAGGGGAGCTAGTAGTTGTTGGAGGGATGCTGCTGCTGAAGTAATATTGTCCAGCTGGAGCTCTTCTGTTCTCAGGAATGTGTCAGGAGCTCAGGGTTGGAACTATGGAGGTGGAGGAGATTCCTAGGGACCGACAGGGATCCTAAGCCCTGAGGAAATGGCTACGGGCCTAAGCAAGAGCTAGGCTAACCTAGGAAGGGGGTGGGCTTAGAGAGTGTGGACCTACTGAGGAACTAGATTAGCCATTGAATAGAACTAGTGATGACTCAGGCCAGAGCTCAGATGAGCCCAATGGAGTAATGGGCTGCAGGGTATAAGATCCTGGGGGCTCTAGGCAAGCCTGGTATGGGATGTACGGGGGGACTTTTGCTGAGTAGGGAGGTCAGCTACTGCTATACTGATGCTAGGGAATCTTGACTGGTCAAAGCAAGGGGGCCAGGGCTGAAAGCCCAAAAGGCAAGTAAGCCCACCATGATGGGCAGGCCAGGGCTGTGGAGAGCTATTGGCACCCTGACCAGCCTGGAGGTGGGGCCAGAGCCTAAAAGAGGCTGAAGGTCCCTTCAATGGGGGAGACATTGCTGTCAAAGAGAGGCTAGGTGGTCTGCTGGCCAACATACTGGTATGATGGAGGCTGAAGCCCAACCTCCAGATGGGAGACATCCTACAAGGGGCCTGGGAGAGATGGGGTCAGTGACTGAGGACATGTGATGTGATGGAGGCTGCAACAGAGTGCCCAGGAGTGCATAGCCCAGGGAGAACACACAGGAGCCAAATGAGGGAATGAAAGACAAGGGCAGGTAGGCCTGTGGTGGTCCTGGGGAATGACCTAAAACTACACCCTTCTGGGGTTGGATGGTGTGGTGGGACTGCCTGGGGCAGGGCAGTGTCCAGAAAATACCACACCTAAAACTGGGGTGCTGGAAACCCTCAGCCCCCACTGCCTTGTGGGTGACCCTGTGGAGAAGGAAAAGGCTCAGGGAGCACACCCTGACAGAAAAGCACAGGGCCTAGGGTCCAGACATGTTGACAGTCACCTGAGGCCTGAGTGGGCCATAGGCCGAGAGTGAGAGCCAACCATGTCAACAGACACCTGAGGCCCAAGGGACGTAAAGCCCAGAGGCCCCAGTGAGGGGCATGTCTAAGGACACCTGTGGCCAAGTTTGGGCCAAAGGCAGAGTGTGCCCCAGCAATGGAGCCAGGGGAGTTAGAGTGGAAGTGATTTTTTTTTTTTTTTTTTTTTTTTTTTTTT